AACATGATAAATAAATCTTACGGATCGCGTGGACTGTTTGAATGTGATTGCTATCTTTTGTTTGATTGCTTTATCTTTGAAATAGAAGAAAATTAAAAAATATTAGTTAGAATTTAAATTAGAAATTTTGCATGTTTAGGAAATCCTGAATACATCTAGAAGATAGGATAATTGTTTAATTTAAATTGGGATTTAAGATAGTTTATTTCCCAGTTTAAATTAGGGGTTATTCTAGCCCTAATAGATTATTTAGGGTATTTTAGAATTTCGAATTTTATAAAAATACCCCAAAAAGAGTCACTTTAGGATAGATTAAATTATCCTCTTTAGAATAGATTGCATGTTAACTTTGCAATTTTTAATTTCGAATTTTAATGAAAAATACCCAAAAAAAAAGAAGTTTAGAATAAATAAAATTTCTTTTTCTGGAGTAGATCGCATGTTAATTTAGGCATTTTTTTATTCCGAATTTAAAAAAAATACAAAAAATATATACTTTCCTTCTATTAGGGTTAGATCATGTCGTCGTATCACATATAGTTTGCATGCTAGGTTAATTAGTCGCATGTCATATTTCGCACGTCATTGCACTTAGGTTAGTTTTCATTTAAATAAAGAGAAAACCCAAAAATATGCTGATTGAAGTGATTGTTAATTAAAAATCATAATAGAATTGTCTGTGTGATTTTCTAGCTAACAATGCAGATGCTTACGTTGCTAAAAGGTACATTGTTCTCCTAAGCTAGTAATTTATTTACTGCTTTCTTTATTGGGTTTTAAATTGGTGAATTGCGCACCCGCATGGTCACCCCACATGTTAGTAACTAGGTAATAAAATGGATTCAGACTGTCTGCTCAAAGATTTTTTGAAAAGAAAAGGTACCGAAAGGGCATTAGACTAGCTCTAGCATAACCAAGTCCCCGAACTCAAAATATTTGGTTCGTAGAAATAAAACATATCTCCCTATGTTTTATTTGGGTTTCTAATCGACCCACAGCAAATAGATTAGTGGCGACTCTAGCATGAAAACATTTGCATGTTAAGAATTCAAACCCTAAGTCGCGAATTGGTAGGGCTTGGGAGGGCCCGAGTTAGGCTTAGACTTAATAATCCATTAGCCGAACCCCTAGGTGGTGCGCCTACAGGAGGTGAGGTCGCGACATATATATATATTCCAACAAACAACTAATTCAGAAGTTTATCATAGCTATATACAACTCATACCAAAAAATCCCCACTATGAAATATTCTCCTCTGATAACGATAGCGCTCTCGTCCTATTTGCAGCTCACTGAAGAACCTAAAAAGCAAGTAAGATGAATAAAATGAGCAATCACAGCCTAGTAAGTAGTACATCTCATCTAAGCAAATCAAATATTCACTAATTCATCAATCCCAAATTCAGTATACGATATACGTAAAATATCCAAAGTTGACTATATATGTCCAACAAAACATTTGATGTTTAAGATCAATCAACAATATCAACTTACAATAACAAATCAACCATCAATAATCTATTCTATTGATCAATCTCAATCAAATCAAACGTCGATGATCTAATCCATCATCTAATCTAATGGTCAATATCTAACTATGGTCACGCTTAACACCCGAGATAAAGGCGACCGAGTTTACCCCTGGGATTGGTCTCCAACTATATCAGCCGGTGATGTGGCTGAGAAGGACATCCTAATAACAGTATACTCCCTATATGGATTCTAATCATAGCGATATAAGCACAATCCACTAATAGCATTCTCTAATAACTCACAAATCGAATCCATAATTCACATAATAATCGGTTTCACAAACCGAATTATATAATTTTTCTCAGTTTCATTTATCAAATAAAAAGTATTTCATGAAACATCACACAAATCAGTACATATAGTTTTTGGCAATTCCTTTCACAAAGCATTTAATTAAGACATTTACAAATGATCATTTCAAACTATTTCAAATAATGTCTTCCAATGCCTTGTCAACCGACTAAAAAGGTCGTAAAAAATTGATCTAATTTATGCAAGAAATATGCTATTTCATAACTTATACTATATTAAATCTTTACCACTTTCGAGACATGAGTTTGTAAATTCATTGAAGAGGTAGTACCACTCACCTAGAAAAGGTGAAAACCAACCCACGAAGGTTACTCAAATCGACGAACTCGTATTCCTATCAATTAATTGAAACACGAAATCAAAACCAAATAAAACTCTACTTTAACTAACAAATCAACTACACTATGCTTAATCGTTGATAAAACAACTCTTATGCGCTAACAAAGAAAGTCGTTTATAGAGAACATTCATCTTTATCTTCTACACGAATTGCGCGTAATGCAAAACTTCATAAATTCGTTCCAATCAAACTGTACTTTGAAATCAATTTTTGCCAAACCCTACGGCTCCACAACATCCTAAACTATCATTTATATATAAATTCACAATTCAATAACTCTTAAATTGAATCTCGCTGTTCAAAATTGACATAATTTTAGATTTACGATCTAATTTCGAAAATTGCTCCGATTAGATAAATAATGGGCTTGAATATTTATTAGGCGTTGCAATTCGAAGTTGATTCAAGGGCTACGCGTGAAAATTTCTCTTTCTTCCTTTCCTCTTTTATCTATTCAAGGGCGAGCTTTGTTTTCTCCGCAGGCATCATGCTTTTTTTTTCCTTTTCTCTTTCTTCTTTTCCTCTTTTTCCTATTCACGAGGGAGCTTTGTTTTCTCCGCTGGCTTCAGCCGCTTCACGCTTCTTCTTTTCCTTTTTATGCTCACACACAAATCTGTTGAAGAAGAAAGGAAAATGGGATGGGCTTGGGTCTTAGGAACATGGGCTAGGCTGAGCCATTATTACATATGTGAGCCAATTGAGCTGCTGATCTAAGTTTATAGAAAGGACTTAATGGCATCATTATGCCTTCTTTCTGTGATATTGTCGAACGAAATAAAATTCCAAAAACGTGCTAAGAATGTTATGAGTTATGATTCTTGTTCCTGTAGCGACTAGCAACTAGATCTATCAAATGGGCGAATCGGGTCAGGTTTGAGTCAGGTCAAAAATGGTATGACCCAAATAAATTAATTTCCATGCAATGCAAATTTAGTGATTCATACCCGACCAGACCCAAACCCAACCCATATTTGACTTGTATTTGTAAAATACTTTCATATATAACTCAATCTAGAAAAACTTATACCCAAACTAAGGTGAAAGTGCGGAGTGAGCGAGCGCGAGATCGAGTGATAGTGAGAGATGATATAGAGAGAGTCATGGAAGTTTGGTCTAATTAAGTTGGAAACCCATTAATGACCCAATTACGACCCATTTAACACCCATAACATGTTTAAACCAATTTATGATCAATATATTGAATATAACTAACCAATATAACAACTCAGCCCATCATATATGGGTTAAGAAATAGATCTATGATCTATTTTAACAAGTCTACTAGCCATGAACACAATATTGGACTTGGATTCGTTGGCTTAAAACGTCCGAAATTCTACGTACAGAGGAGTGGCCGGTATCTTACATTTCTATGAGGAGTCTAAGGGCTGCATATTTCAAATCTTTCATGAAGAATCAGCTGCGAAATTCCATGGCCATGGCATAGCAAATTTAGATTGAAGCTCTTGATCTTGAGCCTTCGATTTATCGAGCACTTCTCTTATGTTCCAAATCAATGGGACCATAATTCTGTGCAGTTGGCGACAATAGTGTCTTACATTTTCGGTTCACTTTATGTCTTACATTTTCATACTCTACATCAATTTGCCGTCGGCATTTTGACATTGCAATTCAGAAGACGCCACAAGATTGACAGGATTCTTTCCATGAATAATTTTATCTCAATAATGTACCAAGTTGGCAAGTTCCATATTGATCGGAAGAGAGCTAGTAACGCAATTCATAAGAGAGACTCTAAATGGTGAACACTAGAATTAGAATACTCGATAAGCAGACGGAGACTTGGTCCATGTATGTATATAGATTGGGCTAGTTTGGCCCATGTGATCCTAACTTTTGGCCTAATATATGCAATTCCATCCTCATCTTTTTCATTTGTTTAATATGATCCATCTACCATGGAGATTATTTTTAATATGGTCGATAATTGGTAATCATATTATAATGATCACATGAAATGGCCACCGTTGACTTAATTGACTCTACTGGTTTATTATTACTCAAGGTACAACAAATATGTGCAGATCTCTCTCTCTCTCTCTCCCTCTGCGCATTTAGGAGGAATTAAGCTGTGCAAGAAGAGCTAAGAACTAAGAACTGTAAGTCTTCTTCTACTTTTTTTAAAATCTATTTATTCATATTTCTATAATTAGCTTTGCCTGGAGAAGATGCATGTTGAGCGAACTTGATTGATTTCATATATGCAATCCTTGTGACTGAAGCTCGGCCTGCGATTAGTCTTCTTCATAAACATCGATTAACTCATAGACCCAGAAAAATTGTTTCTGAAAAAAAAAACGGAATTGCTAATTAGACTCTTGCTTGCCCTAAGTGAATAGATGGGAGAGGAGTATGAATATGAAGACGACCCAAAAACACCAAAAGGCAAAGTGACAAGGAGACCACCACACAACTACGTGGCCATTCTGAAAGATGCAGATGAACCAATCAACTCCTCATCCAAGGAGAAGGTGTGTGAGCAGCTCTACGATGGAGTTCTGTTGAATAACAAGAAAAAGGCAAGTGTATTTGCTTAAATTGCTTTGGTGATTTCTTATCATTGGTTTGTAGCATATGGTAGATTAATTAATTTGCGAGTTTTGGTTATATCGTTAGAACTTTTGTATTTCTGCCAATTGCATCGGTAGATTCAATTTGTTAACAAAATTAGGTGTGATTTGACTTTTTCTACTACCCATTTTCTTGATCCACGAAAGCGGGACCCCTAAATTTAAGAATTGGACAATTTACCGGCATTTTCTTGAGTTGTTTCGAATTTTGACCTTGTAGAAATATTGGGTTGACAAAGAGTCAAATAAGAACTGCTTCATGGTGTTTGCAAGAGATCTAGCGATTGTTTGGGGTGAAAACAAGGACAATTGGGAATGGATCCCATTTCAACAGACAAGGTATATCATCTTTAGAGACAACGTGGTATATGCCATGCCATCAGTTATGTGTAAAGTTAGTAAAAAGAATGCATTGAGAAAAAGGAAACAAAGCAAACACAAAGAAAGATCAAAGAAAAGAATCGTCTTCTTCCTATCTTTGTTATTCCTTCTTCGGTGAGTATCACAATCTTTGCAATGAAGACCGACATCCCTCGTCCTTCAAGCACCTCTTTCAGAAGTAAGCACAAATCATCATCATGGATCGTTTCTGTTGTTTCTTGTTTATATGTTTTCAAGTAAAAAATTCAATTGGTCGAGCTTTCTTTCATCGGGTAGTCTGAAGTTTCAATTTCGCAATAGAGAGCTATTATGCAAGAGAAAATCATAAGCAAATTATTATATATTTGAGTTATCCTAACATCAACAATGATATCATATATTTTTCTCATCTCAAATAGGAAGTTTATTAAGATAACTTATATAGTTTAGCTCAGATTGCTCGATTGCTTTCCTATATCTCTATGAAGTAGGTAAAGTTAATATTAAGAAAGCGTGGAAGAATTTCACTAATGATCCTCGTGCTATAGGAGCCCTCTATCCCAATTATTTAGACAATTTTTCCAGTCATACTTTCTTTTGATGCAAGTTAATCATACCTAGTCCAACTTTAACTCTAATTCTAGTAGGATAAAGTGAAGCTAGGAAAATCTTTTAATTTCCTTAAACTTGGCAGAAATGAAAAATAGAATAATAAAAATCTTTTCTGAACTTGACCGATTTGTATTTTCTTTCCTGTTTTCTTTGCATTATTGCTTACTGTACACATAGTCGAGGACATAGGCTCGTGTCACCTGGATTACCACATTATTTTGTAGAAATATCTTAGCAAATTCTTAGTACATGTAGCATTACTTACTATTATAACTATTATTTTCTTATTACTACCAAAACATCATAACTATTATTTAATGAGCTACTAAATGAATGAACTTACGATGAAAAAGTGTCAATTCTGACCATTGTTTTCTCTTCTCCTCTCTATTTTTTTCCTAGTGACATGGATGTAGAAGTGGCCGTACTACGAAACGTGTGTTGGTTGGAAGTGAGCGGGAAATTTCGAACGATTGCGCTCGCACCGATGACTAAGTACGAAATTGCATTTGTGGTGACAAGGATAGACCCATATTACCGGTGGGATGCTCCTGTGACATTCACAGCCACTCTCCCTGATGGTAATAAGGAAGAATGTGTCAAAAGCTTGAGAAGAGTGCCTCAACAACGTTGGGAATACATCCCGATCTGCGAATTCGTGATGTCGCCTGAAAATGTTGGCGAAGTCACCTTTGCTCTTAATGAGCATGGTGGGAACTGGAAATCGGGACTTGTTATCAAAGGTGTTAGCTTTCGAGTCTCGACCGGTTAGAGGTACTTAAGAAACATTGGGATATTTAGGTGATTGCTAGAATCATGCAGGATCTTCGCTACGATCGGCTTCTTTCATTTGATTGTTGTGTGGTGCTCCCCTGTGTGCATCTTTGATTCAGTGAATGCGATATATGTTTTCAGAATTTTCTCATTGTACATGGTATTGGAGCCAGCATCTTTGGATGTACAAACTCATCTTCCACTGGTCTAGGGTGATCAAACTCAGGAATTGCTCATTGGAGAGCCGTATCTATTATCAAACGCATCAAGTCCGACCCGCATAAAACGCATCAGGTCCATCATTTTGAGATCGATCTCCGGCCCGCGTAAAACGCATCAGGCTCATGACACAACCCCCGTAAAACGTATCAGGTTGGCCATCTTCCAGTAGTCCGGGCATCGTCCCGCGTAAAACGCATCAGGACGGGTTCAATACCCCGCATAAAACGCATCGGGGTTTTATGTGATCACACGTACTCATACCATCAATTTTTATGTGGACCCCGCGTAAAACGCATAAGGGCATTTTAGGTGATCACATGCTCATGTCATTCGTGCACACTCGCATAATGCACATGTCATGCCAGTTCTCGATATGCGCATTCATGGCCATAACATCCAATGCTCGGGCATTCATAAAAAGTCACATTGGGCACTCAATTTAAATTAGCCACATGCTCAATTAATGCCACAACATGCTCAATTCAACATATTAACATGCCCAATTAATCAATCGCACCAAATCAGCCATGAAACTTAATCGGCCCACGAAACCACGCAATTAAACTATTGCAATTCACAAGACCATGGCCCACAAAGCTTCTCATTATTCAGCCACATCAAGCACTCAATCATGGCATCACATAATCACTCCCAAACCATATACAATCAGCCATATAATGGACAATTCAAGCACACACGACAATTTCACAATTAATCCTCAATTTCGCTGAACAAGGCCCGATAAATTCCACCATGGCCAATCACTAATCAGTCCACTCTAGGCCACTAAACCACTTCCAAATCAGCACATTAAACCTCCAAAATCACCACAAGATCAGCCACTACACGGCCCACACAATTGCACCCATTTTAGTCCACATAATTGCCTAAATCAAATCCCCAATGAACAGCCAACAATCAGCCCATTCTAGACCACCAAATCACATTTAAATCATAACATTAGGCTCCCAAATTCACCACATAATCAGCCTTAGTCAGCCGCCAACATTTAACCCCTAAAACACCCTGATTTAACCCCTAAACTTATCTAGAAGTGTACAATAGCCTAATTGGGGTTTAGGGTTTGTACTCACCAAACTTCCTAAGCTCCAAGGGGTGTTGGTCAAGGGGGAAAACAGGTTGGATGGGCACCGGCTCGTGGCGGAACAAGCGGCGGTGCCTACGGCCCTCACGGCAGCGTGCGTTGGCGGGCGCGGGCTGATGGCGTCCCGGCTGATCACGGTGACCAAAGGGGGCGCTGATGATGGTGGTGATGCGGCGAAATGATGAGGAACAAGGGCTGAAGGTGGCGCAAGGTGGTGGTGGTGAGCGGTCTCGACGAGCGGCGGCGGCGCGGCCGCTGCGGCGGTGCTCCGGCGTGGCTCTCACGGCCAAGGGGAAGGAGAATGGGAGAGAGGGAGTGAGGCATGAGAGTGAGGGAGTGGCCGGTGGTGATGGTGAGAGTGAGAGGAGAGAGAGATTGAGGGAGAGTTTAAGCCAAGTTTGAGTGGGGTGGTTGACCAACTTACTAAAAATTCCCATCTTAACCTCAACTCAAGAGCTAGGATTAAATAAGACTAAAATATCTAGGGGGCAATTTAGTCCTAGGATTTTCAGCATTATTGGGGGCTGATTAGTCCATTTTAATCCCCCAAAATTCGGAATTAGCATTTAGGGGTCCAGGGGCAAATCGGTAATTTTCCACTTTCGGTCCGAAATTCCATTTTTCGACCATACCGATCCTAAATATGATTGGCCACACTAATACGACGTCACCCTTGCAAATTAGTCGCGTACATCAGTAAAATTCGATACCGAAGTCAAGATTCAATTCCACGATTAATTTCGCTCAAATGTGATTTTAGCGTTTCTCACTAACGGGCGGCTGTTTAGGGGTTACGCGTATCGACTTAGGATACTCGAGTCGTGATGGTCTCGATTCCCAAGAGAGCGCGAGGATTTATCGCTAGTTTCGGGGGTCGCGATCGTTCGGAATAAGTTCGGGATTGTTGGCTACGCGTACTCTCGGTCCTGCGGAATCACCCGTAATTCGATCGTACGTTGTTTGCCAAACCAAATCCGTCACCCTCCTTAGATCGGCCCACATTGGCCCAAAATATTTCCTCGTCGTTTCTCGGAATCGGAGCTCGATTCACGGTCGAGTTCTTGTGTCCACGTACCGTCTTTCCTAGTTAGTCATTCCCTATTGGTCAGTATCCCGAGAATGATCAGTTCCGGGCGAGACTCACTAAAACGAAATGAGAAACAACCATCCATCTCATTGATCACGAAAATGGGTCGAATTCAGGATGTTACAACTCTTCCTCCCTTACAAAAATTTCGTCCTCAAAATTTACAATCCAAACCTGACTACTCAAACAAATAGGGGTGTTGACGTTGCATTGTTTCTTCACTTTCCCAGGTGGCATCTTCCGTCCCATGATGTTCCCAGATAACTTTGACCATCGAGATCGTCTTATTTCGCAGCACCCGATCTTTTCTGTCCTCGATTCTTACTGGCCTTTCCACGTACGACACTCTATCGTCCACGTCTATGTCTTCGTATCTTAGCATGTGGGTCGGGTCCGGCTCGTACTTTCTCAGCATCGACACGTGGAACACATTATGAACCTGGGACAAATTAAGCGGCAAGGCGAGTCGATAGGACAGATCTCCAATCTTCTCCAAAATTTTGAACGGACCGACATATCTCGGGCTTAGCTTTCCTTTCTTGCCAAATCGAGACAGTCCTTTCATTTGCGACACCTTGAGAAATACATAGTCACCAACCTGAAACTCTAAGGGTCTCCATCTCCGATCGGCGTAGCTCTTTTGACGGCTCTGCGCTGTTCTTAACCTTTCTCGAATAATCTCAACTGCCTTAATTGTCTGTTGTACCAACTCGGGGCCTGTTATGCTTCGCTTTCCAACTTCATCCCAACATACTGGCGTCCTACACGCTTTGCCATACAAGGCTTCCAATGGTGCCATTTGAATGCTCTGCTGGTAGCTGTTATTGTAGGCGAATTCGACCAAGTGCAACTGCTCTTCTCATTTACCCTAGAAGTCCAACACGTATGCACGTAACATATCTTCCAAGGTCTTGATTGTCCTTTCCGACTGGCCATCCGTCTGGGGATGATAGGCTGTAGCAGCCCGAATTTCGATATAATTTCGGGATCAATAAAATCGACATTATTTCGCATTTCATTTTAGTGAGTCTCGCCCAGAGTTGATCACTCTCGGGATACTAACCAATAGGATAGGCTAACTAGGAAATCGGTACGTGGACCAGGGACCCGATCGTGAATCGGGCACCGATCACGAGAAATGACGAGGGAATATTGTGGACTGATGTGGGTAGATCTTAGGAATAGTAACGGATTTCGTTTGGCCAAGGCCAACGATGTACAATCGGATCGCAGGTGATTCTGCACGATCGAAAGTGCACATGGCCAACCAGTCCTGAACTGGAACCGAATGATCGCGACCTCTGGGACTAGTGATAATTTCTCATCTTCTCAATGATCGAGACCGTCATGGTTTGGATAACCCTAGGTCGATACGCGTAACCCCTAAACAGCTGCCCGTTAGTGAGAGACCCTGAAATTTGAAATCTAGCGAGTTTTGGATACGAAATTGGACCCGGACTTCGGTGTTGATCTTCGGAGGCTTAAGAGATTATTTTCACGATTCTGACATCATATTATGCTAGCCACACACGTTTGGGGTTAGTACGGTCGAAAAATGGAATTTCGACCCAGAAGTCAAAAATTACGATTTTGCCCCTCTGGACCCCAACGTTGATTTTGAACCCATATGAGACTATTTTTCGAGGCCGATGACATTTTAGGGTGGCCACGCGCATTCAGAGTTGTTACGGTTAAAAATTGGAATTTTGGCTCGGAAGTGAAAAATAATATTATTTTATTCCCCAGGACTTTGCAGTCGATTTTCAAGAGCTTAAGAGGTTATTTTCGCGATTCCGACGCCATATTATGTTGGCCATACCCATTTAGGGTGGGTATAGCCAAAATTTGGAATTTCAACCAGGGACCGGAAAAAATGACCATTTTGCCCCTGGCCTATTTTTGGTCCGAATTTTTGGGAAAATATTTGGGATAATTAAAATTAATTATCAGCTCAATATTGGACTCAATGACCCTTTTGCCCATCAATTATTGGATAGGGATGATTCTAAACCGTTGGATCAAGGGCATTTTGGTCAAAACTCCCGGATCGGCGACACGTGGCGCCCACTAAGCCCCACCATTTGACCGGTCTGACCAGTCTCTCTCTCCTCCCCCGTCATTTGGCCAGCCCCACCGATCAGCTCCCCCTCCTCCACGTTTTCCTCTTCTTCCTCCTCGGCCGCCGTCCGTACGCCGGAGCTTGCCGGACCGCCGCCGTGCCGCCGCCGTCCGTCGGTGCTGCTGCTCCGTCTGACCTCGCCTCACCACCCCCACCCTCATCCCGTTCGTTCTCTCTCTCCCTCGTCCCCATTTTCTCTCTCTCTCTCTCTCTCATTTTCCGTCCGGCCAAAGGAACGCCGGAGCAAGCCGCCGCCGCGCCGGAGCTTGATCAGCCGAGCTGCTGCCGCCGTGACCCTCCAGCCGCCCATACGTCGCCGTACGTCGCCGTCCGTACGGTGTCCGTACGGCTGTCTGTACGCCGCGTCCGTACGTCGCCGCCGGGAACCCCGCCGCCGGTTTCACCGTTCACCGGTGATCGGCCGCCGTTCCTCGTCGTCGTGAAATTTGATTAAGTGAGTATACCTCCTAAACCCGGATTAGGACTGATAGTGCATTTTCTGGACTGGTTTAGGTATTATCGGTGTATATTAGGACAGGATTAAGGACCGATTG